GGCAAAAAATTGTACCCAAACGATCATCTTGTCCTTGGGATGATATCTTTTTTGTCTAAAGATAAAATATTGGGGGGGACCCCAAGCTTTGATTTTATAAAAACTGAATTATACTATTTAGAAGCAAAAACTGAACTTAGTTCCTTCATTTTAGTGCTGTTACAAAGCTTTAGAACTGCACTTTCAATTTAAAGATTTAAATAAAAACCTTTCTGGAAATATATGTTAGGTCTTTTATGTGAACGACTCCAGAAAATGTGAGGATACATAACTAGAAAATTTATGAAAGGAAAGGCAGTTATAGCAGGAAAAAGCAGTTTAAAAAAATGGAATTGTAATATTCCTCAGTTTCAGATACTGAAAATTAAATAAAATTTAAGGGTCACATATTGAAAAACATAAAAATGTTTTAATTCCTTCAGATTCACATCTACTCCAAATATAAAATCTCAACGGAATTTCTACTTCTAAATAAACATAGCATCTGAAAACACACCAAATCACAGGAATAACAACTTAATCCTACCTGAAAAAGATCCAGAAGAGGCTTCCAAGAGAGCATTAAGACTGCTGCTCTGTTGATGGTTTTGGGAATTTCAGAATAAAACAGTGTATTTTCTCTGTTCTCACCAGACATGGCTACACGAAAAAAACAATCATTTATTATTATAATGTTTTTCACACAGCATTCTTAATATAATCATAGTACTAACTACAAAATGCTTTCTATACATTGCAATATTTTACACTCTGGGATCTATGATGAATGTTAACAAGTAGGATATGCACATGCCATATGCTATAGAAATTTTTCTTCAATAAAACTAAGGCGTTATAGAAAAATACTCAGGTTTCATTTTGATATTCAGATCTTAGTCCCTCTCAAAGCAAACACATAAAAGTATGTAAGATAATGCAAGAAAAGTGAAGACAGGCATCATTTTTATAATTTTTTGAAAATTATTAGTCCTTTACAAATTGGCAAGACTCCTAAGATTCCAATGTGACAACTTCAAATTACTGTTTCTTCTTTTTCTGAAACATTATAAGTATTTAGAAACACATATAGGTCTAACTGCATTCTAGTTTTTCTTCATTATAAAAGTTATTTAACCATAATCATTAATAAGGCCTTTGGAGTTTCAAATAAAAGTATACTTATATTAAAACAACAGACTCTGACATCGGATTTGCTAAAAATCTCTTTGTCCTTTATTGGGGAAGGACAAAGGAAAACAAGGTCTAACTAAGTAGAAGCCAAATCCACTCTGTAAAATCATGCAGTAACTGAATGGGAAGATCACAGCAGTATAGAATGAACTACACATAAGAGGAGTGACAGACATTATGGTTACAAAGAATTAAACCACAGGAAATTTGAACAAAGTAAAACAAAGCCCTTCTACTCTAAGAGGTGCTAAAAAAGTATCACTTCCAATAAGCTGGGGGAGAGTGAAGGAAAGAGAAAATAAATCACACAGAAAGAATAAGAAATTTTCTCTTAGGTGAAACAGATCATCAGCCTGTTTCTGATAATGGCAGCAGAAGGTAGTTTGTGGAAAGGCATGGTAACTTCCATGCTAACGCTTGCAAAGGCTGAGGATGAGCCCCCAAATATCACTATCTTACTTTATTCCCCTTATTTTTCTAAACCTTTTTCAGTTTGTTACCTTTGGAGTAAAAAGTTAGACATCAGCTGACATTTACTTCAGCACTTGATTTTGTCTAAAATCTACTTTGTATATTCCAAAGTTGTTTTGTTATGGAATTTTCTTTCTTTTTTTTTTTTTTGAGAAACGGAGTCTTGTTCTGTTACCCAGTCTGGGGTGCAGTGGCCTGATCATAGCTTACGATAACCTTGGAACTCCTGGGCTCAAGTGATCCCTCCTGTCTTGCCTCCCAGTGCTAGGATTACAGGCATGAGCCAATGCACCCAGCCTGTGACAGAATTCTTTTTTTTTTTTTCTTGAGACAGGGTCTCACTCTGCTGCCCAGGCTGAAGTGCAATGGTGTCATCATAGCTCATTGCTGTCTAGAACTCCTGGACTCACCGATCCTCCTGCCTCAGTCTTCCAAGTTGCTGGGACTACAGGCATCGACTACCACAGTTGCCTATTTTTAAATTTTTTTGTAGAGATGGGTTGATCAACTATGTTGATGAGGCTGGTCTCGAATTCCTGGCCTCAAGTGATCCTCCTGTCTTGGTCTCCCAAAGTGCTGGGATAACAGGTGTGAGCCACTACACCCAGCCTGTTAAGACTGAGGTCATCTATCCATACCATTCATAATTTTACAAAATGTGATCATATCCTCCTTAAGCATTATCCTAAGAGCCTTCAGCCCTCAAATACTAAAAAAACCTATTTTTCTTCTATTCTCAAATGAGAGCCATTTCTCCACAATCACCTCACTTGCCCCTCTCTATATGCTCCTACTTCCATAATGTCTTCCTTGGCCAATAAATTTTTCCCAATGCATTCTATGTCTAGACACACCAGTAGGGGCTTTTCCCATTTTTACCTAATGATGTTTATTGATAATCAGAGCTCCAGCAGTCTATTTGGGCTAATGCCTTCAGAAAACAGTATCAATGAGTCTTATTTCTCTCTAGGATAATGTGATAAAGAACACAAGGCAAAACTTATATGTGAAAAAGTAAAATGCTAATGTAACAAAATGCTTGTTACTAAATAATAGGACCTTTTCTAAGCATGCTACATTTGGAATGAGGGTTCTCAAAAATGTACAATTTCCTATAAAAGAAAAGATTTCTTCCAGTTAGGCTCTCAGGAAAAAGTCTAAAGTATATTAAAATTTTAAAAATAGACTTACATGGACAAAAACTTTAAAATTTGGATGGATACAGAAGACTTGAACAAATAAAAAGGCATACAATTTTCTTGAAAAGCTCAACATCTTAAAAGTGTCAACTTTCTCCTCAATTTATCAATAA